TCAGGGGAATCTTAGGCCTGCCTATGTTGTCATAATCTACCCTTTTAGGTCTGCCGTCTAACCCTCATATCCCCACCGGATCCCACTCCTCCTCCCCATATTTAGCAGAGTTTTTGGAGTGCTCTGCTAGGCACTGAAGCAAATCCAGAAGAAACGTGGGGTGATGCAGTTACGGTCCTGTGCTTTTGTGCCAGGAGAGGGCAAGGCAGGGAGGTCCTGGCTCATCATGCTATCTCTGCAGCCGCCACTCTCCCCCAGTGCAGCCTTTGAGCCAGCCCAGTGCCTGGGGTGGGGGTAAGGGCACAAGAGGATGGCCTCACAGAGAATTGTGGAAGGTGGCCTTTTGGTCCCCACCTGGCCTCACCCACTAAGGCCGCCTCCTCCGGCAGTTCCCAGCAGGGGCGGAGCAGGCAGAGGAGCAGGGACTGCCACCTGCCCCTGGTGGTCATTCCCCCACACCAGGCTTGGTGGGGCTTTGGTGAGGGGAAGCGGGAGGAGGGGTTCACAAAGGAGGCTGGAGAGAAGGTTGAGAGGACTAAACAGTGACCCTTTATTGAGCACTTACTATGTACCTGCACTGCCATGCTAAGTGCCTGGGAAGTATTAACTCATTTGATGCTCACGGCAGCCCCACAAGGAGGTGCTATTGTTACTATTATTATTTTTCAGTCCTCACCTGAGGATGTTTTTATTGATTATTTCTTAGAGAGGAAGGGGCAGAGAGAGAAAGAAGCATCGATGTGAGAGAGAAACATCAATCGGTTGCCTCCCTTAAGTGCCCCGACGGGGATCCAACCTGCAACCTAGGTATGGGCCCTGACCGGGAATTGAACCCACAACCTTTTGGTGTACGGGAAGACACTCTAACTGAGCCTTCCGGCCAGGATGAAGTGCTGCTGTTACGATTCCCGCGTGCAGAGAAGGCAGCTGGTGAGTGCAGAGGCTGGCCCAGGAGCACACAGCCATGGGTGTGCTGGCGTTTGAATTGACACTGTACCACTCCAGAGCCCCTTTGCTCAAACGCTCTGCCGTGCCACTGCCCCAGTCTCTTCCGTGCTTGAGCAGAGTCTTTTCACATCACCTGTGCTGGGAAAAGGAAGACAGCATCCCAGCTTCACCCCGGAGGCCCTGACGCAGCTGGTCGAGGAGAATGCCTGGACGGTCACACGTAAAAGGCCCCCTGGAATCCCAGTGTGCAGCCAGTGTTGAGAACCACTGGGCTAAACCAGCCCACGCCCAACAGCGCACACTCTTTGTCAGGCCAGCTAGTAAACACTGGCACACTGGCACCTTGCGAGCAAGCTAAGATGCGACTTGCCATGGGTGTTGGTGGGATCCCGGTAGGGACATGTGGTTGGGCAGATGTGGGAATGAGCTCTGAAAGAATGAACTGGCAAAGGAGGAGATGCTGTAAATATTTCAGGGTCCTATTTCAGAGCTCTGTTTTAAGCCTGTTCTGCTTTGAAAGGTTCCATCCAAATAGCTGAAGGGTCCCTTCCTCAGCAAGTGACCAGCCAAGTGAGAAAAGAGCTTAAAAATAAATAAAAATAAAATAAAGCCTGGCCAGTGCGGCTCAGTGGTTGAGTGTCAACCTATGAACCAAGAGGTCACAGTTTGATTCCCAGTCAGGGCACATGCTGACTCGATCCCCAGTGGGGGGCGTGCGGGAGGCAGCTGGTCAATGACTCATCATTGATGTTTCCATCTTTCCCTCTCCGTCTCCCCTCCTCTCTCTGAAATTAATATAAATAAGTAAATGTAAAATAAAGCCTCAGCAGAGCAGTGCAGCAATAGCTGGGAGCAAGCTGAGGCCCACCGAGTCCCCCAGACCAGGAACTCTGCAGGAAGAGCTTTTGGGAAGACAGTGTTGAGCCAGATTTGGGAAGCTTGGCACAGTGTGGCTAGAAGAGACAGGAGGATGCACCTCAATGTGGAGAGTGAGACGTGTGCGAATGTGTGGAAAGGTAGAGTGGTTGGTTATAGAGGGAATCAGGAGGAGATGGAGCCTCCAGTGCAGAAAGACTGCTGCAGAGGGATTAGCACTGAGCAGGCAGACGAGGCAGAGGTGGGGAAAGCCTAGGTGCTGGGAGTCCAGAGGCTCTGCCAGGACGCCTGGGCTCGCTGCAGTCAGCATCAGGGACTGAGCACTGGCTTGGAGGCGAGGGGGAAGGGCTGGGGGACCTTAGTGAAGCACCAGATGATTCCGAGACAGGTGTGTACGCAAGATGGCCCTGGAGGAGGAGCTTCCAGGTCACCCTGCGGGCTGCCCGGAAGGGGTGGAGAGACAGGAGAGAGCTCCAAGCTGGCGAACAGGGTGGTTGTCAGTCACTGGGATTGTCCAATGCCCCATGCCCCCCTCTAAGACTCACAAGGGTTACCACAGGAAAGGGGGTGATCATCCAGTCCCCCCTCCTCCAGGGACCCAACAAGAACATATAAAACTAAGCCTTAAGCCATTCAGAGTTTGGAATTAGTTGTTAAAAAATGTTTTCCCCACAGTGGAGGGCATGTGTAAATGTGGGGACAGAGTAAGGACAACTCAGGGTGTCTTGTCTTTCTTCACACATTTACCCACACTTGATATTTCCTCTCTTATGACTATCTCACCTCCAAAACTCAACTTGAGTCTCACTCCTTGGGAGGTTTCTTGGTGCACTCAGGCCCAGGGGCCTCCCTCTTTGGAACTCCTAGCAGGCTGTGCTATTGGAAATGTTCTGGGTCTGTGTTGCCCCCAGGGCAGCCACTAGCAACGAAAGGCTACCGAGAATTTTGCCTGTGGCTAGAGCAGCTGAGGAACTGAATTTTAAATTAATTTAAATTTAAATAGCACAATGCCTAATGGTGAACACCTTACACAGCACAGCCCTTGAGCACCTGTTGATTTAATAGGTGATTTAATACTTAACATCATCTCAAGGGGACCAACTGTTTACCAGACACTGATTAGGTACTTTACGCAAGTTATCAAGTGTTCACACCCTCTCGTGAGGAGGTATCAGCACCCCCATTTTAAGGAGGAAGAAATAAGGGAATTGGAAAAACCTCCCTGGAGTGGTAGCTGGACTTGAGTCTGGGACTGACAGGTGCCAGAGCTCAGGTTCTTCCTATGACAGTACATTTCTTACTACCATTTTCTCTTCATCAGTTGGACAGACCAATTCCCTACCAGCCTCTTACTATAAACAGAGGTCCCTCCTGCCCTCCCATATGAACTAGTCTTCCATCCTCTTTGGGATGACTTCCCAGGGTGGGCCAGCAGGCAGACACCACCAGTGCAGAGCCTGCGTGAGGGGAAGAGTCTGTGGGAATTATAGCAGTTGGAATCCCTGGCCAGGGGGACTGCTGCAGAGGCGTCGAAGAGAGCTGGAGGGCAGAGTATAGAGCTGCGAAGCCCAGGAGATCTGGGGCAGGGCCCTGGGGGCACTCTTCCACAGTTCACCTCTCTTCTTAGCTCCAGGAAGCCCCCTCAGTCCTGCCCCCTGCAAGTACTTCTTGAAATAGAAAGCAGAGGACAGTTAACTGTTTCAGGATAGGACTTGGGAGTATCTATAAATTGGAGTGATTGCTGGTCCACGGGTTCATCCAGTCAGTAAAAAAGATATCAAGTACCTTAAGGATTTGGGTTCAAATAGGTCAGTGATAAAGCCTGAGAACCTGCATTTTAACAAAAGCCAGGCAATTCTACGGTCCACAGATCACACTTGGAAGTTGTAGTCCTTTATTTATAGTCTTTTATATATTTTTTACTTGCAAGTGGCTACTTATACACTATCTTGAAATGGCCTCTTCTTCCCCTGACCTTCCCTTTACCAGAGATTCTCAAGCCTGGCTGCATACTAGACTCACCTGGGAGCTTTAGGAAACTACTGATGACCAGGCCCCAGCTCAGACTACTGACCAGAATCCTTGGGGTGAGGGGTGCTCGGGCACCCCTGGGAGAATTGACTCTGATGTGCAGCCAGGGTTGAGGACCCCTTTGCCTCACCTCTGATGCCTTCGTCACACTCAGCCACATCCTGCTTCGTGTTACTTATATGTCTCTCTTTTGGGTGCGCTGAGTCACCTCTGAGCCTCCGCAGCCTTCTTACAAACACCTCCATAGCAGTTTCAACTGAATGAAACATTTTCTCCTATTTCAGTTCAGCTTTAGGGGCGCCAAAACATTGCTCCAGAAGTTGTAGTCTTTTGCCAAAGGGGAATAAATGATTCCCTTTCCTATGTTCTTTCTGAACCATCCTCTTTTTGCTGGGTCTTAGGTGGCCTCACCCCTTAGCATAGCTTTGTGAGTAGCACCTCGTGCCAAAGTGAGGGTCAGGAGAGGGGAGCACCTGACCTGAGATGAAAGAGCTCCAGGTGGCAGCATGGGTGGGCCTGCCTGAATCAGCTGGAGAGTCACTTGTCAGACTTCAGGTGTTGGTGCCAGCCCCTGCCAGCCCCTGGTCCCTACGGCATTGACAGCGCAGGAGCCGAGGGAAATCTCCCAGGATGGAACTTCCTTCCTCTAAGGATTCTTGGCGCCATGGTGGGCAAGTGGAAGCAGGCCTGGTCTCAGGCAGAAGCATGAGGCAAGTGAGGATTCTCAGATGCTCCGTCCCCGTCTTCCCCCTTTAATTACCAGTGGCCCTGGACCTGCCCCTTCCCCAGAGCCATTGCCCACATGCCTTTTCTCTCCCCTCCCTCCAAGCTTGCTCCTAACTCACACTGGGCCAAATAGTTCTAATCAAGTTAAGTGTGCCACCCGGTCCAAGGGTTCTTGTTTGTTTTTAAATCAGAGGAGTGTTTCAGATGATGGAATTTTAGCTGTCAGTGCGGATTAAGTATTTTTGAGGGGAGTGGGTTTTTCCTGAATTCCTGAAATTACAGTCAGGCCACTCTGAAGTCAGAGGGCTGTGGAGAGCACCTGCTTCCTCAGGAGTCACTATCTCTACTTTGGGGAAAGGGGGTGTTCCCGATGGGGGCACCAGCAGAGAGTCTTATGTACACCCTCTGCCCCTGCCAGATGTGGATGAGTGTGTGGAGGGGACCGACAACTGCCACATTGATGCTCTCTGCCAGAACACCCCGAGGTCCTACAAGTGCATCTGCAAGTCTGGCTACACGGGGGATGGTAAACACTGCAAAGGTGAGGCTGGGAGGGGGAGGGGGAGGAGGACCTCCTGGAGGGGGAAGGCAGTGTCACTGCCTGGCCACAGGTGCCTTACACTAAGGCCTGTGATCCCCACTGACATGGGGAGGGGTTGATGGGCGTGGGGAGGGGAGGAGCTATTCCCAGAGAGAGTGCAGTTTTTGAAGTTGCACAAAGGCTCCATATAGGCTAGCTGGGGCCCTTGGACAAGTTCACAGCGAGACAAGCTAGGCGGGGTGGGGGGATCAGAAGCGTGGGACTAGGGCCTGAGGTTCCCTGACTCTGGAACCTCCATCCTCAGACCCTTGCACCGTGCTCACAAAGAAAACAGATAGTTTAACCCAGGGAAATTCCTACTGCAAACAAGCACACCTTCCCCTCGTAATTAAAGCTATGCAAAGAAAGCAGTCTTGAGATGTTACTTTATGACCTTCAGTGTTGATAAGGCTTCAGTGGACAAGGCACACTCATTAATTCCTGGTGACATTATAAATTGAAAAGTGATTTCGTCATCCCTAGCAGGAATCCTAAAAGGCATTATACTCTTTGACCCAGGAATTTTACTCTTAAGAACTTATTCAAAGGAAATTCAAAGAAACAAAATAACATACGGGAGAAGGTATTCTTTGATGCTTTATTTATGATAGTGAAATAAACAAGGAATCTAACAATAGAGAAAAAAATTATGATCTAAAAAAATAATGACCATGGAACATTCTGCAGCCATGTGCAGTGGTAATTAGAAAGACTGGGTGGAAATATGTGAAAATTTTTGACTTTAGATGAAAATAGCAAAATGCAGAATGGTTTGTAGGCTATTAAAGTAACTATATAAACGTACACATACACACACACAGAGAGAAGGTGATGCATTTTTTTAAAACCACCACAGGGCTGAGGCCAGGGCTGGGCATGGGGCACGCAGGTGGGTGCAGCTGCCTCAGCTCCTCTTTGCTCGCAGATGTGGATGAGTGTGAACGAGAGGATAACGCAGGCTGCGTGCACGACTGTGTCAACATCCCGGGCAACTACCGGTGCACCTGCTATGATGGCTTCCACCTGGCACACGACGGACACAACTGCCTGGGTGAGCGGGGAGCGGGCATGCGGGAGGGGGTGTCTTGTGGGGAAGGAGGTGTTTTCAGCATTTCCCATTTCCCAGGCAAGGCGAGGAAAGTGACCCAAAAGCTGCAAAATAGAGAACCGGGCCAGTCCCCCCTTTGAGGCTGGCACGGAGGATGAAGCCATCCTGCTGCTGGATGAGCACAGCAGAGGAGATGCTGCGGGAAAGTGCTCCCAGGGCAGCGGCCGGAGGACAGCAGCAGGCTTAGCGCAGTGGGCGGGGCACGGCGGGGAGGTGACTTGGCTCCAGGCAGACCCTGGCTCTGCGGCTTGCTAGCCGCGTGGCCTCAGACAGATTCAGTGGTCTAGTCTCTGGGAATCCCAGCTTCCTTAAAGGCTCTGGGTCAGTCACCATGAGAGAGCATGTATAAAGAGCCCTGTGCCATCCTTAGCACATAGTGGGTGCTTAGTGCACAAGAGGAATGTCGTCAACGCTGATGCTGCCTCCCTGCTCCCAGCTCTTCCCAAAATCTCTAGGCTCGCCCTCTTCTCACTTCTGAGGCCTCAGTCTGACCTGATCTCCTTTGTCCCTCGGAGCTGGATCAGAGAGAGGAGAATCTCTAAGTAACTAAACTCAACTTTGGTTTCTATCATTTACTAGGACCATGTCAGATTCTTTCCCAAGTAGAAAAACTGAAGCCCATAGCATGAAAGGATTTGGGACATGAACCCAGGGATTCTTCCCCAAATTCCTTCTCTCTGGTACCAGAACAGGACAGGAAGGAGAGAAGACCAGGAAGGAAGAGACACAAGAAGAATGATACCCAGAGAAGCAGGCTAGGCTGCCCTCTCGCCCCCTCCCCCGACTAAACAGAGGAATTATCTGAGGCCTCATTGGCCTAGGAGAGCCTCCTGACTACAGAGCCACCTTTAAACCCAGTCACATTCCAACCTTGGACCAGGCCTGGACCAGGTTTCCACTCCCAACCCGGTCCTCCCAGCCCCTCAGCCAGGGCCACCTCTCTTACCACTGTAGCTACCAGGGAAGGACCTCCCTCATCTGCCCAGTCACTTGTGAGGGCCTCTTTGGGAACTCCTTTGGAAAGAGGAGCTGTGACACCGGGACCAGGACAGTGACTTGCCTACAGGACTACAAACATCAGCATCTGAGTTCTTTGGTTGCCTATGACCTCTCTAGGCCCCCTGTTCTCGTCTTGTTTCCTTAGAAAACCAGCCAGAAGATAAGGGAATGAGTAGGTATGGAACAGGTCAGGGCAGCAAAGGTCTATTTAACACTAACCCCAGGGTTGGGGTTCAAAGTCTGAACCTTACCTTTGGCTTTTAGGGGACCCCTGAGCAAGTCATCCATGCCCTAGGTGGCGTCAGTTTCCCCTCTGAGAACTGAAGGAAAGAACTTGGCCAGAGTAGCCAAGTCCCAGGGTTGAAATAGAAGGGAACAGAGAAGGGTGGAATTAGGATGGGGCAAGGGAGGGAAGAAGACAGGGATGGGAGAGTCACGAGTGTGGCAACAGAAGGACGGCGACAGGAACAAGGCAGAGGAAAGGAAGCCTCCTTGGCTTTCCTAACAAGTGCACCTCTCAGGCAGGAGCCTGGGCCCCTCAGCCCTTGGCCAGAAGGGGAAGAGACAGGGATTCGAGGCCCAGCAGAGAGGATGGGGAGAGAGGGGCAGATGAAGCCCTCAGGAGCCCAGCTCCATTTGGGAATCAATCTCCCTCATGCCTCCTGGGCCAAGGAAAACTGAGAAGGGCTGTGGACTTGGGAGGGCAAGCAGGGAGCATAGAGAGGGAGTCGAGGCATTGAAGTGGGAGCCCCAGGATGAGCTTGGCTCTGGGACCTGGGGCTGGTGATTAGGGTGTGGCCTAGCAGCTCCCCCCAACCCTGGCCGACAAGCTCCAGACTTTGTTTTGTTAAACCAAAATAGGAGAAAGGCTAGGGAGTATGGCAGCAAGCCCAGGCCTGGGGGGAGGGGAGGAAGGACTGGGGTGTGGCCTGTCCACAGAAATGGTCCCTTCCCCAAAGGAGTTGAAGCCACTGCCTTCCCCAACCCCCTCGCCCACCTCAGCACCTCCCTGCGCACGGAGCCATTTCCCAGACTCTCTATTCCCTGGCTGTTACCACGACCAGCTGTCCCCACTTCTTCACCCCATCCAGCCTGCACTCTTATCTTCATCTCTGTTCCTCTTCTCTGCTTCTTTCCTGATCACCTTTGCCTTCAGTCTTAGTTCCAAGAGGTTCCTCACCGTAGTGAGCCATGTTCGAATGTCCCCTCCCCACGTGCTCAGCTCCCAGCTCTGCCCTCTTAGGGCAGCGTTTTCAGGAGCAGTGGAGCATGAGGTGAGGGTGAGAACTGCCTGGCCTAAGGCTGGGTGTTGGTTTGGGGAGGAGGGGGAGGTGTGTGTGCTGGACTCTTAAGACTGCTCCCAACCCGTGGTGCTGAAGGCCCAGGGCACAACCTGGACCCTGGCCTGCACCCCACAGCCTCACCAACCACTGTCCTGCACAGATGTGGACGAGTGTGCCGAGGGCAACGGGGGCTGTCAGCAGAGCTGTGTCAACATGATGGGCAGCTATGAGTGCCACTGCCGGGAAGGCTTCTTCCTCAGCGACAACCAGCACACCTGCATCCAGCGGCCAGAAGGTCAGCCCATGACCTGGGAGGGCCCAGCACTCCCAGGCTCCCCTCTCATCTGCTTGGGTGCTTCCCTCAATACCCCCTAGGTCTCAACCTCCTCCATTCTCAACTCCACTAGCTTCTTCTCTGTTCCCCAACCCAACTACATCCTAAGGGCTCTGTAGACAGACACTATCTTAGAGCAAAATCTGGAGGAATTCACTTGGGGTGGGGGTCAGTGTGGGATTAAGGCAACTATTATTAAGGTAAGTGTGGGATTAATGGTGTCCTCCGTGTCCAGAGCCAAGTGGATCTTGTTGCTAATTAACTGTAGACGGCTGAGCTCTAAGTGCTGTCATCTGAGAGAGCCTCCGATGCCGCATTCCTTGGATTGGATTGGGAGGGTCAGGCAGGAATAGTGCATATGTGTTGTCCGTTTCTGGGGCTCCCCGCCAGACTGGGACATTTCTGAGGGGAAGGACTATGTCTAATTCATCTTTGTACCCCCAGAACCTAATACTCTGCCCTGCATGTAGTGGGTGCTAGGTATTTGTTGAATAAAATCATATAGTAATTACCTATACCAGTTACTCCCCACTCACATTATGCTATTGATCTCCTTCCTAGTTTGACTATAAGCTTTTTGAGGAAAGAGATCATGTCTTATATTTATCTTACATGTGGGTCTTTCCTAAGTCCACCCAGTACCTAGCACAGCCCTGGACAATGGTTAGATACTAGCCTTTGGTTGTCTGAAGGAGAGGGTGATCATGCAAGTTTCCTGGGGTTGGGAGTCAATACCTGTACGTCATTCAGAATGGCTCTGAGCTCTGTGGGCAGGGCAGGGAGCTTGTGAGGGGTACCCAGTCTCCTGTCTGTCTTGCAGCCTCAGTGGAATTCTCCGAATTTCCTGGGCCCCAGTTATTCCTCCCAGTTCCTCTTCCTCTGGGCGCCCAGAAGTACAGAGCATTCACCCTGCTCCTTCCCTTTTAGAAGGAATGAACTGCATGAACAAGAACCATGGCTGTGCTCACATTTGCCGGGAGACGCCCAAAGGGGGTATTGCCTGTGAATGCCGCCCTGGCTTCGAGCTCACCAAGAACCAGCGGGACTGTAAATGTGAGATCCCTGGCATGGCAGTGGGAGAGAGGGAGACAAAGAGGCGGGGTGTGGGACCTCAGCGGCAAGAGGTGGGAGGAAAAGGGAGCATGGGAGAGGCAACTAGAAAAGAGGGCCAGTAACTGTTATGGAGAACTGGCCCCCAGGGAGAAGCAAGCTGAAAGGCCTCCTGCCCTCTCTGCACAGTGACATGCAACTATGGTAACGGTGGCTGCCAGCACACGTGCGATGACACAGAGCAGGGTCCCCGGTGCGGCTGCCATGTCAAGTTTGTGCTCCATACCGACGGGAAGACGTGCATCGGTGGGTGAGGCCAGTGGACAACTTAGTCCACCTGTGATGGGGGAAGGGGTAGGGGTCCTTGGGAACCAGGGAGCAGGGAGCACACGGGGCCCCAGTGCTGGGCGCAGGATGACTGGTGAGTAAGTTGAAGACCCAGCCGATGCCAGGTCTAAGTAGGGACAACTCTGAGACTGAAGGGCTCACCTGACCCCCTTCTCCCCCACCCGCTGGTTCCACTGCCCCACCACCGGGACCTCACCACCCTCTTTATCCAGGATAAAGTGTTGCTAACCTGGGAATAATCAGCAGAGGCACTTGCTGGCCAGGGCTGTAGCTGAGAAGGGAGGAGAGCTGGGGCGATGCAGGATTAAGCCTGACCAGAGGCCCTGGTTGACCAGTGTGGTCAGACGGGAGCTCTCACAGCCCACTGTCCCCACTGGAACTGAGGGTGGGAAAGAGTGCTCTTTCCTGAACAGCCAGCCTTGAACTGACAAATGGGGTTTCCTGACTCCAGGTATCTTTTCCTCAGTATCCTCTCTCCCTTCCGCTCCCCCACTTTCTTCCCTCTTCTCCACATTCCAGTGGGACGCCCTCTCAGCCCTGCCCGGGGCCTCTCACTTCACCACCTCCAGCCTTCCATCCCTCTTGCCCTGGTTTGGGGCCTTCTTAATGCCTGGATCCCTTTTCCTGAGTTCCTCAGCCTTACCTCACATATCTTCAGGTACCACGGATGATGAATTTAATTCCTGATTCCCTAAGTCTTTAGGTCTTCCAGGAAGGCCAATTACTCTGTGCTCACAGGTGCTGAGGAAGATGATAGGACAGGTGTCCCCTTGGAGAAGTGGGAATGAAAGGGAAGAGCCAGCCAGGCAGGGGCGAGCTTGTCGTGTGGGCACAGTATTCATGGATAGCGGTTCATCTCTTGGGCTACAACATGCTGGGGATGGGGGCGTGTGAACGCAGTCACTCTGTGTCTGTCAGAACCAGGCTGTCCCCCATCTCACTCTAGAGGCCCACCCCGTCTCTGCAGACAGCACCGCCTTTCCCCAGACACGAGAACAGGGGAGCAGATGATGCTCTGAAGGGTCTCCCTCAGGTACCTGTTCCAGAGACTTGCACGCACGGTTCCAGAGTTCGCTAATTAAATCTCACCCGCTACAGTTTTCCTCTGAACTAACCCTTCAAGGACCCTGGAACATTTTTAGGCCTTCCTGTTGCCTTCTCTGGACTGATCGTTACAGCTCCTTTCACTTCCCCCTCATCAATCTAATTCCGCTTTCCAATCCTCCCACCATCCTCTGGACACACTCACAACCCCCCAGAGTGTCCTGGAAGAAAGTGCATGGAGACCCCAAGGAGAAGCTGCATGTGTCAGGACAGAGTGTGGGGCCCTGGGTGTGCGGGTGGGTCCCTGGGCAGATGGCCCTGGGCACAGCTGCTTTTGAAAATGCCCGTTAAGCTTGAGCCCTTCCCCAGTGCCAGACCCATTCTGCCCTCTGGGCCACAGCCAGGTGAGGTAGGAGGGAGCAAACGAGGCTGTTCTGAGGCGCACAGCCATGTTCTCCCCGAGCTCCTCACGCTCTGCTCCAGTGGAACTTACTGACCTTGCCCTGACCTCGCTCTCTCCCCAGCCCTGGCAGGTGGAAGCCTCACTGTCCTGGCAGTCAGGACGCTGAGATTTGGTGGGCAGGCGGAGGGCAGCATAGTTGAGCAGAAAGGGTGGGCACCCTTTGGGATCTGGCAATTTGTAAGACTTGAGGTTGGATTCCCAGCTCTGCCTTCGGCATGCTGTGTGGTACTGGGCCCGTGACTACCCCTCTCTGAGGCTTTCCCATCAGTCCCTTGGAGGGAGCCCAGCTTCCTTGAGGATACCAGGCAGGACAAGGCTGGGGAGTGAAGTTTTGGAGTCTCAGGGCTCGTCATATGGGGGACAGTGGTTTGGGCCTGCAGGGCGGAGGAGGGTGGGGAGGGGCTGGGGCTCAGTGGGCCACAGTGGCTCCTGCCCAGCATCTAAACAGCTTTTTTACAATGTCAAACAGGGGAAAGGCGGCTAGAGCAGCACATCCCCCCTCAGGCCGTTTCTAATGGTAAATATGTCTGCTCTCTGCACTTGCTCTCACTGGCTTGCTAGGGGAAGGGCTAACCTGCTGGGGCTCCCACTAACCGCATGCCCTCTGGGCCTGGCCTGACTGGGCTCCAGCCTGCCAGCAGGGCTCCCCTGGCAGCCTGGGTACTAGGCCCACTGAGTGTCTCCTGAGTCCCCAAGAGCTGGCCCGGGAGCCCTCATGTTGGTTTTGTGCTCCTTTGATCCTGTCACGCTCCTCTTCTGCCCCCTCCTTCCCCCTCTCCCTCACCTCCTTCTAACACCTCACCCCACCCAACCATCTGCCCCTCCCTTTCTCTGCCTCCCACACAGCTGAAGACCCAGCAGCTCCCTCTTAGCCATCGTGTCCCCGTGCCACCTGAGCTAGGGGTAGGGTAGGGTTAGATGCCACCCTTCTTGGGGCTTCTTACTCACAGTAGCTCAGTGCCAGCATCACTCATCGCCCTCTTCCACCATCACAGTGTAGATCATTACAGTTGAGTTCAGACAGACCTGAGTGTGAGTTCTGGCTCTGCCACCTCCTAACTGTACGACCTCAAGCTACTTTCCTCTCTGATCCTCAGTTCCCTCTCCTGTAAAATGGGGAGGATGGGCCCTCCCTTAGGTTGGCTGTGACGCTGGAGACAGTGTGTGTAGAGCATCTAGGGAGCTCCTGGCACAGAGTAACTTCTGATTTTAATACTGAAGAGCAAAGGGTTGAGGCCATCCATCCTGCTGCCTCAACTCTGCCCACAGGTGTCCTACAGGGGCAGCAGCTATGCCCAGCTTTCTGCTCCAGCCTGGGGTGGACACTACCAGCTCTCCTGCTCCCCACCCGGGATCCCACAGTCTGCCTTGACTTGGCACAGGATCTCTGTTCCCCTTTCCACACTCTGGAGCTTGGGCACTCTTCTTATGTTAAGGATATTCTTGGGGGTATGACTTGGAGCCTGAACTCAGGATTCCCTCCCAGGTTCCTTCCATGACTGTGGGGAACCTCAGGAGAGGCTACGGTGGGAGTGCCACATAGGAGATCCCACTGGATCTCCCAAACCTGGGCATTTGAGGGACCAGGGCATGGCCAGGGACCCACAGGCAGAGTTGGCCGTCTAGTGCCCTGGCCTTGCTGGTCTCAGTGACAAGGGTTGAGCCGAAGTTTTAGGAGTCAAAGATTCAAGATGATAGTACTCTCTGGTGCCTTCCTCATTCAGTTTCCCTGATTCTGAGGACTACTCTCCTTTCTTTCCGGGCAGAGGCCTAGGGATTTTGTCTCTCTAATGGGAGAACTCTAGGCCCCCAGATGGCCCACACCTCCACAGCCCCTGTGGCAGGGCCTTGCAGTTTGAGCTGGTGGGTTTTCCCTGGGCTCACTTGACACTTCTTGGCTGTTAAACCTGTTTTTCTCCTACTCTGAATTCAGAAAATAGGGCGACTGACCCATCCATACACTCCTACTCTGATCTCTCAGCAAAGGGAAAACTTAGCAGTCAAGAGGGGGCAATAGAAGAGACAGCGCTGAGGCTCTCTAACTCTTGACCTACCTTCTGACGCCCTTCCTTCTCCGATTCTTCTTTTACCCCCTCTCCTCCCCTCCCCATTAGGAAAGTAAAACAACAACAGAACAGCCAGCTTATCTCCATCTGGTACTAAAAGGAGGGCTCCGGAGGAGCTGGAGGTAGCCTGGAAGGGGCTGGGAAGTGACTATGCAGTCTCCTCTGAGGAGGAGCAGTCAGCCCTTGAACTGGGATCTTTCTTAAGACAGCTGGGCAGGGAGGAGGGGAAGATGAAGTGATGGCCATCAGCTGTATTAGGGATCACCAGGCTCTCTTCCCAGGATTATCCACCGTGACCCCCACCCACCAAAGAGGTAGTCGGTGGGAAGAGGAGGGGAGAGGAGGAAGCACTGTCTTTCCTTTATTCCCTGGTAGCGATTGCTCCCATCCCTCCTTGCACCCTCCCCTCTCCACCTCCTCCACCCCCTCAGCACATTCCTGCCTGACAGCTCTGGCTTGTACCTGCCTCACTGCTGTCCACCTTGTTTCAATCAAGTAGGGGGCAGGGACGTGGACTGCTTGGCTGCACTTGTGAGGGGCTGGGGGCTGGGAGCCTCCGCTTAATGCTCCTTCTAAAGCACAGGGAGGCAGCCGAGGCCTTCCCTTGTTCCTCGGGCCTCTGTGCTCTCTGTTACCCTAGAGTTTGGGGCTCCTCCAGGCCCATAACCTGGTTACCATCCCCTGCTCCCTCCTAAACAGAGACCTGTGCTGTTAACAACGGAGGCTGTGACAGTAAGTGCCACGATGCAGCAACGGGTGTCCACTGCAGCTGCCCTGTGGGTTTCATGCTGCAGCCAGACAGGAAGACCTGCAAAGGTAAGGGCTTTCAAAGGACAGGAGCGGAAGGGTAAGGGGCTGAGGTGGGGAGCTGAGATAGGGAACCTATTATGGGACCTGTACCATTATTAGCCTCCTGTACCCCTGGAGGCTATCCTGATGATAAAGAACTGAGGCCATAACTAAGGCTGGTCTCCTGTCCACCTTCCCCATCTTGGTTCAAGGGACACAGAAGTCCAGTGTCCCCTGCCCCTGCACTACCTTGTTTTCCCTACTCTCATTAAATCCCCTATGGGTCCCTAACCCTCTTGGTTAATGAACATTTACGTTTGTCCCTGGGTCTAGGCTGCTATTTGAGCCTTGTGTCTGCACGAGGTCACAACTGCGTTCTGTTCCCTTCATATCCCACATTCCTGAGACCTTCCCTGCGGAAAGGTGCTTCTGGTCAGAGGGGGAATAAGGAAGCAGTTGGGAGCACTGATGCTGGAGCCTGGACCCTGGTTCAGATCCCAGCTCTGCCTCTGATTCACTCTTTGATCCGGGGCAAGTTTCTTAGTGTCTCGGTGCCCGAGTTTCACCACAATGATGGTGCTTGCAGAATGTTGTAAGGATTAAGCGAGTTATATATGAATTATAAAGTACTTAGAACAGTGCCTGACAAATGACAAACACTGTGCTGGTTGTTGTTATGGTATAATTTCCCACACTGTCCATTCTGTTTCCCCTCCTTTAATTAACCAGGTCTACGGGAAAGGTTGGGTAGAGGGTAGGCATACTGAAAATAATGATTCATCGGGGCTGTGTGTTCCCTGGTCCAAAGGAGTAAGGACTGGAAGGAGGTCTGGGATCATTCTTTGTGTCTTTTGGCCCAACAGCTGGCAGAGAGGACGGGGAGGGCTGGGGCAGTAGGTCAGACAGCCAGAGTTGAGAGGTTTCCTGCTGGGAAGGACTGTTGACAGGTATGCTAAGAGTGAAGTGGAAGGCGCCCTCCCTGCCCCTCCCCCAAGCAGGGGTGAGTAGCCTGGGTCCTGTCTGCCACCAGCTTGGAGAACTTGACCTCAGGAAGGAAGCCGCTCACCCCCGCCCCCCTTCTCTTCCTAGTGCTGAAAGCTGCCTCAGGCCTGAGTCTCTCCAGATCTCTCCCAGTCCAGCCCCCTGCCTGGCCCCCACCCCTCCCCCATCAGCTACCCAGCCTCTTTCACTGGTTTCTTCCCTCCGAAGAGCTGCCCCTTTGAATCTCCACCTCTCTGTGCCACCTCCTCGCCCACCCTGCTGGGCTCCTGTGACCAGCACAGATGGGGTACAGGAAAGGAATAAACCCCATCCACCCGCAGTTTTGGGAAGAGCTGTCAGCAGCAGAGCGGAGAGCACGGACTAGCCACCTACTTCCTGCTCCAGGCAATTCCCTGAGGGCCTGCTTCTGGTTCCCAGGTGTCCCCTTCTAAGAGGACTGGGCCTGAGGAAAGGTGTTGCTAAAGGCAAAGACCCATCATCCCCTGAACAGAGAAGAAAAGGGAGAGTCAGGAGGGCAGGCTCAGGGCTCTCCTTGATTCCATGTGAGGGAGGAGGGATCTTTTATCTTTGTTGGTTCCCAGCCTTTGGATTACCTTTGATTTTCTCTACTCTGTCCTGCTTCCCCAGACATAGACGAGTGCCGTTTGAACAATGGTGGCTGTGACCACATTTGCCGCAACACCGTGGGCAGCTTTGAATGCAGCTGCAAGAAGGGTTATAAGCTTCTCATCAATGAGAGGAACTGCCAGGGTGAGCAGACTTGGGCCAAGGGGAAAGCCTTCGAGAGGTTCTTAGGGTAGAAGTTTCAAGCAGGCCAGAGCCTGAGAAACTCAACAGACACTGGGGAGGGTTTCCATAAGCAGTACTGTCATGCAAATTAGCAAATGTGCACCTTCTTGGCCGCCCAGCTCTGCACTGGGGCACACAGCTTGGCAAGGAGTGAGGGATGGATTTCACCCCAGTTCATATCCTTGGCAGGGTCTGAGCTGCCTAACCATACATAGTGGTCCTGATCTAATAGGCATTAGATATTGCAGTTCCTGACTCCAAGGACTCCAAGTGGAGGGAGCATAGGGGATGGGTAGGCATTGCTGAATCTCTGATTCTAGGCCTGGGCCATGAGTAGGGACTTTTAATTTAAGGGGAGAGCCAAGGCCTCTCACTTGGGTCCTTTACCTGAGCAAGGGGTCCCAGGATCAAGTGCCCCAAGAAAAATTCAGTGGCTTGAATCCTTGCTCTTTCAGATATAGACGAGTGTTCCTTTGATAGAACTTGTGACCACATATGTGTTAACACGCCGGGAAGCTTCCAGTGCCTCTGCCATCATGGCTACCTGCTGTATGGTGTCACCCACTGTGGGGGTAAGCCAGCAAATTTGGACCCTCAGCCACCAGGCCCCTCTCACTTCCTCACCCTTCAACTGAACAAGCCCCTGAGTTGGCTTGTGGCTATGGGCAATCCCAGGTACATGTGCCATGTCTGCATCCACTGTGAAGTGGGAGGAATTAAGAAAACTGGGAATCAGGTATCAGGGAACAGCATCCTGCCTCCAAAATTTCTCTCTCTCACCCCCATCACTTTCCCTTGACTCCCACCCTTAGCGCCCAGATTACAGCCCCACTGGTAGGAGTGGAAGGTTTTAAAGCTCGTCAGTTTGGCCCCTTCTCAAGCTGCCTTCTTTTTCCTTTTCAATGTTTTTATTCATCTCAGAGGAAGGGAGAGAGAGAGAGAGAGAAAGAAACATCCATGATGAGAGGCATCGATCGGCTGCCTCCTGCACGGTCCCCACTGGGGATCGAGCCCGCAACCCGGGCATGTGCCCTGAGCAATCTCCTGGATCCTAGGTCGATGCTCAACCACTGAGCTATGCCAGCAGGCCTCAGTCATTCTTCTGACTGTAGATAGACACAGGAAGGAGGTCTTAGGTTTGAGGTTTTCTCGGGCCAGGAGTCTTAAAATACCTGGAATTCCAACCAAAGGTCCTCACGCACTGCCCACTCCCTGGCTCCTTCTCCTGCCCACCATTGTCTGTCTGTCTCCTTACTCCTTCCCCAGATGTGGATGAATGCAGCATCAACCGGGGAGGTTGCCGCTTCGGCTGTATCAACACTCCTGGCAGCTACCAGTGTACCTGCCCGGCAGGCCAGGGCCGGCTGCACTGGAATGGCAAGGATTGCACAGGTGGGCAGCACCCTCTGCTGGCCGCAGCTGGCACTAGTTTCAGGGGTTGAGGCTGTAAGGGGTGCAGAGTGTAGCTATTTGAGTTAGAGACATGAAGGTTCTAGTAATCCTTTCATCCCTTTATCAGTCTCTGTGTACAGTCACAATTCTGCTTGTAGCTAATTTTCTTCCCTCAAATTACCCAGCTGAGGGAGAGGGTGGGAACAGAGGCCCTCTCCTCCTCAGGCTTCTCTCCCCTTCCTAGAGCCTGTGAAGTGTCAGAACAGTCCTGGTGCGTCGAAAGCCATGCTCAGCTGCAACCGCTCTGGCAAGAAGGACACCTGTGCCCTGACCTGCCCCTCCCGGGCCCGGTTTTTGCCAGGTACATAGAAGAGGTTGCTGGAGGGCTGGTGGGGAAGGAACATTGGCTGTTCAGGCAGCAACTCTGCTCCCCTTAGAGACATCCAACCAGTGAGGGTTGTGGGGGGCAGGTCAGAGCTGTGACAGCTCCCTTCTCTCAGAGTCTGAAAATGGCTTCACGGTGAGCTGTGGCACCCCCAGCCCCAGGGCCACTCCAGCCCGAGCTGCCCACACCGGGAACAGCACAAACACCAACCACTGTCATGGTGAGCACCAGCCCAAAGGCCTGTTCCCACCACTCTCTTGCTTATTGACCCCCGTTTCTCTTCTTCATTAACCCTGGCCTCACTTTTTTCTGGATCCCCTTCTTGCTCTGTAATTCTCCAGCCCTGCTGCCTTGCTCCCTCTTCCCCTGACATCTGATTGCCTTGGCTTTCATAATCCTTCTCCAGCGAGGCCCCTGGCTTATTGCCCAGCTTCTCAGCATCCTCTGCAGCAGCCCTCACCCCACCCCTAGGGCCCCCAGGCTCTGCTGAGCTTCTACCATCCCTCTAGAGGCTGCAGTGCTGTCGGTTAAACAGCGGGCCTCCTTCAAGATCAAGGACGCCAAATGCCGTTTGCACCTGCGAAACAAAGGCAAAATGGAGGAGGCCAGCAGAATCCTGGGGCCAGGTTTGGACTGGGGACCCCACTCCAATAGGCTGTCTGGCCACCAAACCCTTCCCACCCCTCAACTGCTCTGCTTAGCAAGATTGCCAAAAACCTACTGGCACCATGAACTCTAGAAAGAGCAGGGGCAAAGCAGATGTAGGCATAGAGCCCAAGGAAGTCCTAGGATATTCCCCACACCAACTAATTAGTATCCTAGACTAAAGAGAATGGAGATAGTTGCAGTCAGTGATCTGGTGAGGTCTGTCTGGCTTGGGGTGGAAGGGTGAGAACTGGGAGCAAGAACTTCCCCTGTCCCCCAGGGGGTGCCCTGGAGTTGACAAGGCCTTTCCCCCAGGTGCTGCGCCCTGCTCTGACTGCCAGGTCACCTTCATCCACCTCAAGTGTGACTCCTCTCGGAAGGGCAAGGGCCGGAGGGCCCGGACCCCTCCAGGCAAGGAAGTCACTCGGCTCACCCTGGAACTGGAGGCAGAGGTCAGAGCTGAAGAAACCACAGGTGGGACTGGGAGCACTGTTGAAGGAGGGTGGAAAGGGAAGGGCAGAGGTAGGGAAACCACAGGTTTCAACAGCAAAGGGGAGGGGTGGAGCCTGTATTAGGGCAGACCCTGCCTAATTCCAAGCCCAGGAGCCAGTCTCTCTCACCTGTAGCTCCTAGCTTTGCTCCCACCCTCCTGGCTCACAGCCACTGTTTCTTCTCTTCCTTCTGACTCATACCGTCATCCACTACCAGCTGGCTGCGGGCTATCCTGCCTCCGACAGCGGATGGAGCGACGGCTGAAAGGGTCACTGAAGATGCTTAGAAAGTCCATCAACCAGGACCGCTTCCTCCTGCGCCTAGCAGGCCTTGATTATGAGCTGGCCCACAAACTGGGCCCGGTAGCTGGGGAGCGAGCTGAGCTGGTGGAGGCCTGTAGGCCAGGGCAGCACCGTGCCGGGGCCAAGTGTGGTAAGGGAGCTTGCTGGGATAGAGGGGAGCACGGGAAAGGAAAAGCCCAGCTTGGGCTCAGAGCAGGGTACTTTATGGCCACAGTTGCATCTCTCAAATTGTGAGGCAGCCAAGACCCTCCTGCCCATCTTCCCCCACCCCGGTCCCAGGCTGAAATCTAGGACAGCAGGCAGGCCCTCCTGCACATGGCTTTGGCCCGATTCTTCCAAGCAGGATTCTGTCTCTTTCCAGACAAAAAGATTCTCCTTAAATCTGGGGGAGCGGGAAGGGGAGTCCCAGGCCTGGGTGGTGGGAAATAGGGGGGTGGGTGGCTAGCACAGCCGACTCTCCCTCAGTCAGCTGCCCGCAGGGAACGTATTACCACGGCCAGACGGAGCAGTGTGTGCCATGCCCAGCGGGCACCTTCCAGGAGAGAGAAGGGCAGCTCTCCTGCGACCTTTGCCCTGGGAGTGATGCCCACGGGCCTCTTGGAGCCACCAACGTCACCACGTGTGCAGGTGCCAGGGGAACAAACAATGCAGAGTGGGGTAGGGTGGGCACTGGGACGCCCATGGGCATGGGATTTCCCAAGGGCAGGCCCAGGCTCCAGGCTAGTCTCCTAGTCAACATCCTGTTTGTGTGCCTCTGTCCCCTGAGACTGGGTGACCCCAAAGGGATGACCAGGACCATCCCCATCAGAGTTGGGCCGTTGGTTCATTGCAGGTCAGTGCTCACCTGGCCAACACTCTGTAGATGGGTTCAAGCCCTGCCAGCCATGTCCACGTGGCACCTACCAACCTGAAGCGGGACGGACTCTGTGCTTTCCGTGTGGCGGGGGCCTCACTACCAAGCACGAGGGGGCCATCTCCTTCCAAGACTGTGACACCAAAGGTGAGTAGGCTGCTCACCCCACCAGGAGACTCCCTACCCCAACTACTTCCAAGAACACTCTCCAAGTCCCCAGAGTAGACCCAAGCTTGTTGCTCCACCATCCTCCCCAAACCAAGAAAGGCCCAGTTGCCTGACCAGCCATGCCATCCTGCTCAGAGGGCCCATCCTGACCCACCGCAAGCCACAGCCTCGGAATTGGGGAATAAATAACGGTGCCACTTACCCCTCTGCTTTGGAGAGCTGGTGGCACAGTCCCCTCAACACTACGAACGCATTTCGGAACAGGTTTAGCACAGCTCAGTACCTGAAAGAAAAGAATTGGCACTGTAGCCAGCTACTCTGTCCAGTTTGTTTTTCCCTGGCCTTAAACTCTGGCATAACTAGGAAAGGTTGGGACTCTGGAAGAAACTTTGGTGTCTTCAGTCTCCTGATTCTCCAGGGTGAATGTGTCCTGCCTATACCATGTCCCAGAACTCTGACTTGCCTGCCACCTTAACTCCTACCTTTCCCCTTGCCTGCAGTCCAGTGCTCCCCTGGGCACTACTACAACACCAGCATCCATCGCTGCATCCGCTGTGCCATGGGATCCTATCAGCCTGACTTCCGTCAGAACTTCTGTACCCGCTGTCCAGGAAACACTAGCACTGACTTCGATGGCTCCACCAGTGTAGCCCAGTGCAAGAGTATGTGGCAGGGCAGGCTGGAGAAAAGGGGCTAGAGAGGCCTGGGAGCATTGGGCATAGGAAGCAGCAGGGCGGGGGAGTAAACCAACAGGGAACAGGGCTGGGGAGTAGGTGGACAATAAAGTCCCACTCTCCATCTCTCCCCACCCACTTAGTCTCAAGACAGTTGCTGGGCTGGGCTCTGTAGCATGGAGACAGGTAATGGGGAGGCAAATACAGGTGAAGTGCGATAAGAAGATACTAAAAGAGCAGGAGGGAAGGTGGACTCAGAACTTGGAGAATGGATAAGCTAGGAAGGCGGCTACCTACATGTGCCTGATTTTCACTTGAGAACTCTTCTGTTTCCCCAACCCATTTCCCCACTGACTTCACTTCTTTTCTCTTGCTCTGTCCACTGGCCATTGGCTACAGATCGTCAGTGTGGTGGGGAGCTGGGTGAGTTCACTGGCTATATCGAGTCCCCCAACTACCCAGGCAACTACCCAGCCGGCGTGGAGTGCGTCTGGAACATCAACCCTCCACCCAAGCGCAAGATCCTTATCGTGGTGCCCGAGATCTTCCTGCCGTCTGAGGACGAGTGTGGGGACGTCCTTGTCATGAGAAAGAACTGTGGGTGGCTGCAGAGCTGGGCCAGGGAAGGGCAACCCAAATCTGGTTGGGAGGGAGAAAGAGAAAATTGGTACAGGAAGAATTGGGGCAGTGGCAAGGGAGGCCTTGGGAGGAGAGGAGCTAACAAAGGAAAACAATGAGGCTACATGTTCAGTGGAGAGCAAAGTTAAGAAAGCCAGCCCTGGGACTAACTCCAATAGCGTTCCATGTGCCACTGTCCTACTCTAACATTTTTGATGTTCCATTCATTTAAATGTCAAATTTCTTACACTGTGAGTGCCAGGATGTCAAAGAAGAGTTGTGGAACAAGCCCAGGGCAATGGGAGACAATATGTGAATGG